TATTATGGAAATTTTATGGAAAAAAAAGGAAATGGTAAAAAAAAAAAAAAAAAAAAAAAAAAAAAAACATAACCAAATGAAACAGGAATCACTGTGTAGGCAGAAGTTGCATTGTGAAGGACTGAATTATAAATTATTACCATACAGCAACAAACTACAGTTGAATTTTTTAGATCTAGCTTTGAATATTAAGTATGCTTTAATGAACATTTGCTGCAAAAAGACATGCTACATTTGAGCTTTGACCTTATATTATTGGTCATTATCCTGGTCATATAACATTTTTATGTGATGATATAGTCATCGATGATGAACCTAATAACATTTTTCTGAAACTATTGAGGAAAGATGTTGAGGTGGGGCTAAAATAGGAATACCCTTAATTATATATTTTGCCTTATTCTTATAACACATTATTAGAAATTATTAATAAGGTAGCAGTCTAAGACTAAGTTTGAAAAGATAATTTAATTAACACAAGTTTTTGCAGGCAGTCGATGCCAGAGCTTCGTCAGGTGTTTGCAGTTCGTTTTTCACAAGCAAACCTTTTGAATTACATCAATTACTTTCAAATTAAAATATACTTATCATTAAAATATACTTATAAATCATTGTTTCATGTTGAGCCATACATTTTACACTTGTGATATTTGTTCCATATAGGACCAAAGCATAGATTCAGCAGATTTTAAAACTTAACTATAGAAGATGATCTCGATGATCGGTAGTTATGGGCAACATGGGTCATAATAGTAATATTATATACATAGGCATACTTTCTAAAAATTTGACACCAATGTCAAGTCTCTTGACCAGTAGTCATGGAGTTACACGAAAATATAGTGCGGGAAGCTGGTAATAAACAAGGACATTAGTGACTGTGGCACAAAAGTCTTATTAAAGAGAACATCAGATAATATTTTCGAAAAAAAAATTATTTGATAATCATTTTGAGGATAATAAATATATTCCAAAATGATTAAATATTCCATTTCTGCATGCTCTGAACAATTGCAGAAAAGGAAAGCAACTATTTCTACTTCTAATTTGCATAGGCCTATTTAGGTAAACTGCATATAGAGAATGCATGGCCAGGGTGTGATTTCTAGCCTTTCATCAAATATACTGTACAGTGAATCAAAACCTAAATTATATATACTGGTGCATACATATACAGTACTGAAGCATTAGATAACAGTGAGTATAGGGTTAAGGGTCAATTTTTCATGTTGGTTATTGTGGGGCAAATGTTCCATTAGAGCAAATATAAACATGCGTGTTTTGAATAATTTTAAAAAAGGAAGCCACTCTGCATTTTAATAACTTGAGAATAAATCACGTTTCTACTGATATTAGTCACAGAAATATGCAAATTCAGTGAATATAAATAAGGTAAAAGGTGAGTTGTAGCATTTCCGGTCATTTTTAAGGCAAATTTTCTATTAGAGTGAATAGAAACATACATGTTCCGAATAATTTGAAAAAGAAAGCAACTTTCTGCGACCAGTAGTTGCCGAGATATGGGACGCTATATTTTCTTTCTTAATTTGCATAATTAAGAGCTAATTTGAATATGAACAGTATATGTGACCATGGTATGATTATATATTTTAATCCCTTCTATTAATATAATGTAAAGAAACATGCATTTGAGTAATTTGAGGCCTAAAATAAGTTTCTATGTACTGTACATTGTCACAGAGATATGCAAATTCAGTGAATATAAGGTCAGAGGTCAATTTTAGCATTTCCATTCATTTTTAGGCAGATGTTTCATTAGAGCAAATGGAAACATGCATGTTCTAATTAATTTGAAACAGAAAGCAACTCTCTGTGACCAGCGGTTGCCAAGATATGGGATTCCTATGTTTTTTTAAATTAATTTGCATAATTAAGAGCTAATTTGCATATGAAGAGTATACGTGACCGTGATGTGATTATAGATTTCCATCCCTTCTACTAATATGACGCAAAGAAACATGCATTTGAATGATTTGAGACCTAAAGTAAATTTCTATGTTCATTAGCCAGATGCAAATTCAGTGAATATAGGGTCAGAGGTCAATTGTAGCATTTCCGTTCATTTTTGAGGCAAATGTTCCATTAGAGTAAATAGAAACATGCGTGTTTTGATTAATTTGAAACAGAAAGCAACTCTATGCGACCAGCGGTTGCCAAGATATAAGAGCACTATATTTTTCACCATATTTGCATATTTTAGTTAATTTGCATGTAAGTTACCGATGTATGACCGAGGTTTGATTTCTGGAATTTCATCCCCTCATTATATGTATTTGATTAAAAAAAGAAAAACCTTTGTGTTTGCAATTTGTTTAAACTTCAAATGCTGGATTGCCTAGCCTGTATGTATATTGATGATGTTCAGGGTCCAAGCTTTTTATAATTATTAATTAATGACGTAAAGAATTTTCTATTTGATAAAGTAAACATTAACTCTAGAGTAATAGAATATTCATGAAAATAAATAAGAAGCGACTAATTACCAGCCAGCTTTCATCGATAAACGGTCAGCTTCATTTACAATTCTCGTGGGAAAAACATTAATTATACTGGATAAACGTTTAATAATTTTTATTTCTTTATTTTTGTAAAGAATTTAATATTTAATACATTATAAACATAAAATCTAGACTAGTAAAGGTCATGAAAATATTCATAAAAAAATCAGAAGCGATTTTACCAGATTTCATCGATGAACTGTCGGCTTTATTTTTGCAATCCTCGTGGAGAAAGCACATGAATGATACTAGATGAATGCATACGTTTAATAATTTTTTTAATTTATTTTATTTTGTTTTATTATTTTTTACCTAGTTATTCTGGGCCCCTGCAAGGCCCGGGCCCCGGTGCACTTTCCTCGGTTTTCCCGGCCTCTCGGTGCCATTGGTCCTAGCTCCCAGAAGCCCAGCCACAACTTTAAATTTTCAAATTGAACAAACTTAAACTACACAATTTTACTCACACTCGTACGAGACCTCCAGATACTTGAATGTTCCACGACAGGGGTCACCAAAAACACTGTTACTAGCCTGGACACTACACGACGACTTTCCATCGCAGAGCTGGTTGACCTTAGATATTGATGATTGCGCAATGCACGTCCTGTCACATATTTTGGACGAGGACCAACAGCGCTGGCTATAGGACACAGAACGTCCGTAGCTGGAGCACAGAATGTTAATCTTGTGGTTGCCACAGTCGATGGTTAAGGTTTTATGCTCACATACGTATCTAGTTATGGCCGCATCTGTAAATCAAAACATAACCGATCGATCAATCATATAAAATAATACCTCTCATTTTAAGTATTTAAAAGACAAGACCTCATAATAACGAGAAAAAACTCTTTAAGTCGTGTTGTGGTAATGCTTCTTACATTAGTGTAACAATAAAGGAGAGGGATCTAGCTGCTTGTTTAAATGTTAGTGCATCTAGAATAACGATTTTCAACACCGCGTATACAAAGTGATACGGTACTGAATGAGAACAGCGATTTAGCTTGAATAAAAAGAGAAACACAAAAGAAATATATCGTTCTGATTTTCCAAATACAGTACTATACTGAAGTCAGTGAAAGAAATACATCAGGCCTGCAACAAATTGTGTTAGGTATATTACAAAATGAAGATGGATTTGTTTACTCACTGCTGCACCCGAGAAAAGCTGCTATGAGGCAGACTGCGAGAATGATCTTCATGTTTGATGTAGTCTAGGCCAACTGAGAACTGTACCGCCAGAATAAGCAAACAAAATTATATTTCACATTATATAGTAATAATTTGACACACCTATAGTTCCTCAAAAGAATAGGTGTGCCAATATAAGTGCAATGAATTTCCTTTAGGTCATTATAATTACTTATTAAGGTGAAAAAGGATGTTAACAAGATAATTGTGCGGAACCATTAAAGTATATTAACATTGATTTTAAGAAGAGGTGCACGCAAACCTTCTAATCATTATGCTTAAAAAATGAAATAGTATTCAAGTACATTTTTTATTCGGACCGGTATAGTATTCGATTGACTTCCATCTATGACGTAAAAAAATCTTCACCGACAACACAAAGAGACACAAACCTAAACGAAAATCATATTTTTTAAATTTTGTTTTTTTGATATTTTGATTACAGACACCGAACTATAACTTCCACTTATATAGTTGTTAACATTGAAACCACATTATTTACGTGATTAGACTAAATTATCCGTAGCACACATCGAGGAACCAGTGGATTTTGAGTTTTCACAAACTCTTAAAGCCCCATTCCCGGCAAAATTTCACTAAAAACTGACTTTTTTAAAGAAAATATGCATTTGCATTACTCCAATTATTATAATCATGGAAAAATATTGGCATGAATTTTAGTTTTACGCAAAAGAATAAAAAAAAAAAGAGAAATACAGCCTATTTCTCATAAAATATTACCATTTTCTCGACGAATTCATCGTTACTAGGCAAATTCAGAGGTTGTAGATCGCATCCAAAGAGATTAGTTTTTGTACTTCGCATCTCGCACAATGCGGTCGTTCGGTTAGGCTGAGATATGTTTGTTTAAGTGTCAAAATCTCAGTCAGAATCAGTTTTTAACAAATTTGAAATAATTCCTATGAAATATTATATTTCACAAGTGTCAATACTAGCAACGGAAAATATCATGTCGGCCGTTTTTATGTGTGATAACAGAACCTAATTTGAGGTAAGGCTAGGCCTAGCCTAGCAGCGTTGGATAGGCTAATGTTTTCGGCGCCTACGATATTTCTTCTCACGACATATCGCAAAATCAAACATGAAAAATTCATCCGCATTTATTTTTTGTGTGGAACACAAAAAAAAAATCAAAATTCAGTCTTATTTTACATTTTTTTCATTCTTAGGAATGTTTAAATTCAGTTAAACTAGCAATTCCGTATTATATTTATAAAATCTTTATAACATTATACAAAAATTAGATTTTTCTTAAAAACTGAAATTTTGCCGGGAATGGGGCTTTAAGCCGGGCACTCACTGCGTCGTACGACGGTCGTACATCGTCGGTCGACGAATCTAAATCCGCTGTCCGTGAGCGCTAGACGACACAACGCGCACCGTCTGATGATTGTCAATGGCAGTAAAAAACTTAAATAGCAGAAAAATGAGCTGTTCGCGTATTTGCATGTAAATTGATGGAACATCCGCCCTCCCGCGAGCGGGGTAAAATTTGACCATTTGACTAAGTGTGGAGAGATATAATAAGAATACTAGAGCGCTAACTGCAATGTATTCGATGTTCGAAATACGCAGAGTTATGGCCGTCGTAGTAAAGCGCCACCTTCAGGCTTAGTATACATCAAAGATCTTATAAACACAAGATAGCGTTCTCCGCGATTTACGCGTAACAAATAGAAGCGTCGGTCAAGGTTCAAAAGTTTCCAATTTAGCAAGAGGGCGCCATTCATGCGCTATTATACCAAAGAGAAAAAGTAATCAGCTTTGGAAGAGGGCGTCCTATCTGTTGCTATGGATCTGAGATGGTTCCTGTTCTGCTGTTCACAGGATTGATACCCTAATGGTAAAGTCGAGCGGTCAAGGGTCAAAAGTTTCCAATTTAGCAAGAGGGCGCCATTCATGCCTTATTACAGAATTTGCACGCGTAAATCGCGGAGAACGCTATCTTGTGTTTATAAGATCTTTGGTATACATATTATTCATAGACTAGAGGGCTTATTTATGGCATTAATATGTATACTAAGCCTGAAGGTGGCGCTTTCCTACGGCGGCCATCTTGGATGGTACGCATACACAGCTCTGTATTGCTTCGCCATCTTACGAAAGCCTATTCGTGCCACTTAAAGCCCCATTCCCGGCAAAATTTCACAAAAATTGACTTTTTTTAGAAAATATGCATTTGCATTACTTCAATTATTATAAATCATGGAAAAATATTGGCATGAATTTTAGTTTTACGCAAAAGAA